TATATATAACTCTGATCATACACCCCTGACCATTATTCTCTCTTATGCATCTCACACTTCCACCAAACCCCTTCTTGTTCCTAACAAGCTCCTCTCAAGCTTTCATGTGTCTTCTGTGTGTGTGTGTGTGACCCACTATGCTAAATCAAGGTTGCTTGCATGAGCACAGGTTGAGGGGTTATATACCTGAGCTAAGACAACTTACCAGTGGCTACATCATTCCTGCTCCTCCAGCAACCATCAACTGCATATATATAACTCCTCAGGAGGGGCAGGGCCTGATGAGCCCCTCCCTCATCCATGGTGAGTGGGTAACCACAGCTGCTGTGAGCTCATGGGTGTAACAGCCATGTCCTGTCCATGTCCAGCGGCCAGTGTCTCACAGCAGTTCTCTTCTGTGTTCCTGCACCCTTTCTGCCCCTCTTCCACAATGTGTTTCCTGAGCTTTGGAGACGGTGATATAGATGTCCCACTTAGGGCTGATGTAATTCGTTAAGACAAGGCTATGTCAGCATAGGTTGGATTCTTCATCCAACATGACAGATATAAGAGGATGGGAATGTGAAGACACAAGGAGAGAGCTATGTGAAGACAGAGACAGAGACTGGTGTCATGGTCCCACAAGCTAAGGATGCTAGGGTATACCAGAAGCCGGAGTAAGGGATAATACTCCCTCAGAACACTGGAAAACATATCTTGGTCTACAGCTTGGTTTTGAATGTCTTCCCTTCAGAACTGTAAGATAATAGATTTCTACTTTAAAACAACTCATTGGTGATACTTGTTAGAACCACCTAATAACAAATACACTTATGACCCCTAAATGTAAATAAAATGCAGCACAAAACTAACCCTTCAGCTAAATCAATCATCATTCTTAACATTTCTGTTCTACTATTTTTCAAATATGTTTTAATCAATACAGTTTATATTTCTTCCTTATGGGGTACATAATCTTTTGCTTTGTGGATATAGTAATTTCCTTTATAACTTCTCTATTAGATATTTAATTTGTATATATTGTCATTTATTTTAACTTCTAAATTCATTTACACAGAAAACCTTCATACGTAAATATTTATTTACTTCTTTAACTAGGATTTAGGAAAAATATGAGGAAATGGATAACTAGCTCAAATGGTATTGTTTTATTTTTTGACATGATATATTAGTTACATCGCTGCCATGATAAAACTTGACTAAAGCTTAAGGGAAGGATTTCTTTTGCTTTGCGCTTCCAGGGGATTCAGTCCATCATGACAGGGAAGGTATGATGTCAGGATGGTCACAGTTGTTCACAGTCAGGATGACAGTGATGAATGAATGCCTTGCTCAGCTTCTTTCTCTCCCTGCAATGCAGGACCCTAGGCAATGGAATGTGCTGCTCACACTCAGGGTGGGTCTTCCCATCTCCATTAACCTAATCTAGGTAATCACTCACAGGAGTGCCCAAAGACTTGTTTCCATGGTAACTCTAAAGCATGTCAAGCCGACAGCCTGTATTAACTATTATCATGTCTATGCCTTTCCAACATTCTTAGTGTATGTTAGCAAATTACTTCTCTTAAATACTTAAATGTGGCAATTTGTTACATGTATCTGCCATACATTTAAGGACACCAAGTAAGAATAAGTTTTACATGGTTTCAACACATACACGGACACAAAGACACACTCATAGACACACATATATACATATACACAGACACAGACACACATACACACAGACCCTTACACACCCATGCACATACACAGACATGTACGGATATACACATACACACACACAGATTCACACAAATAGGTACACACAGACATAGTAACACACAGACACACACAGCAACACCAAACATCTGCACCCATACACATAGATACCCAGAAACACACACATACAAACAGACACATGCACACACAGACACATAAACACAGAAATACCCAGACAAACACACAGACATGCCCAGACACATGCAGTGGCACACACACACACACACAGGCACACACAGATACACAGAGACACACATGGGCACACACAAAACACAGGCACATACACTAATAATGATTAAACAAGATGACTTGCATGAAAATATTATTATGGTCATTACTTCATCATCTACAAATGTGGCAACTTTAAATATCTCCACCTTGTATTTGTCAACTACATTTTGATAAATTCGAGGGTGTGCCCTGCTAACTTGACTCATAATGGTTTGTTATCGTAATACTCTTTACTTTGAATGCTGGGTAGAATTTTCCCCTCTCAAGGTTTATTAACTCTTACTGATTCTTCTGCTGTCCTCCCTCATTATTTTTTTCATAATTGGTTTTTGCATGAGATCTATCCCTTCACACTTTTCATTGTGCTCAAATGTAATATAAAAGTAAAAATAGGTCTCCTTTGGGGTGGGACTAACAGCTGGATGTGCTGCGTTTACCCACACCAGGTACCTAATAGATTCTCCACAGTGGAATTTCTTGTGAAGTTGAAGTCAAAGGGGCTTCACGTACCCTTGTTTGCTCTCTGGGTCTGGATCGCAGTGGCAGTGATTTGTTCTTGTTGGTGGAGTCATCTTGGCCTTCATCTTTTTTCTTTTTGCATACTCTTAGATCGAACCAAAGCAGAGCAAAGCAAGTTGGAGACTCAGCATTGTGGAAATGCACAGAGGCACAAGAGTACATGTGGTGTGGGGGAAGAAGGTCTGCCTCAGACCACCAAGGCTCAAATCCTGATCGCATGTATGGTAAGTGAGCTCCTCGTCTTCTCAATCTGTGAAATGGGTGTTCATCATGTTAATTGTTTCCTAAATTAATGTGAGGATTAAACAAAGCCCGGCAGTTATCAATTGCCATACACACATTAAGTCTAGCTGTTTCAAACACAGTAAAGTTTTTTTTTTAATTTTTAAAAATGATTTATTTAATAACAACATACTTAGAAGAAGCATATCATTACAACACAATTGACATATTCAATAACGGTTTCCTGAGGTAGGATGCATCTCTTTCAAAATTGGCTGTAAATTTTTAGGTTTACAGTTGAATTAATATAATTATACAATATTGTACTCAGTATAAACCCTAAAAGACATAAATTAAATGATGTTTTAACCTTTAAAAAATATCTCCATTTCATTATTAAAATACACAGTTTCATACAGAAAAATTCATTGTTTTTGCTATTAACACTGAGATGTTGGTGCATGCATCTCTAATCTGTATGTATCTCATTATTACTAGTCATAATTGATTGTACTTGGATCCTTGGTGCCTGTGTATGTCTA